TAATGTTCGCAAAGACTACCTAAATGCCAAACATGAGATGCAGCCGGGGGAAGCACGCACAACCTGAATCGTGGCAGTGGTGGTGAGGTTTAGGGAGCTCCGCCGACCTAGGATCTCAACTTCATGCCCACCTAGACGCACCCTAAGGCGTAACGACTGTAAAACTCAAATGCCACAGCTCTTCAGCCCCAGTCCAAGCTTTTCTCTATAACTATGATCCGTTCATATTGGTTTGCTCTCCTGTAACAGGCTATCGGCTTGCCCAGGCGCATATCAAGACCTCCGCATATCGAGACCTCTGCATATTGTTAAAAGCCGTACAACTGAATGTCTTTCCGGAGCACAGTATTATCACTTTCTGTTCTGGAGGCTTTCGGTGGCTGTTCTTCATCTTCCAAAACTAGGCGAATAGTCAAAGTATTATGATATGGCCACGGTGTGCGTGCTGACTCGGCCAGCCAAAGCCAAACCATTTTATTTCCCTTTCAGTTTTGCATGCATTTGCTCACATTTAACCCTGATATTATTCTTGATTTCTTCAAACCCTAAAACGGCTGGAGGTGAAAGTGAACATTTTGTGTGTTTCACGTGCGTATCACCATAGCAACACTACATGTAACAGGTTATCAGTGTTCGGTACTATTGATATGAAGTCGTTGATCAGATGGCCAGGAAGACAGACTGAACACTTTAGATCGTACGCATACATATACAGCCAGACTAGTACATTTTCTGCCGTAAAGTACCGTTGATCCGTCCCCTCGCGCCATGTTGCTTCCCAGCTGAGTTTTCACCAGGGGGCGGGAATTAGATCAAGGCTGTCAAGTGCAGTACGATGTACAACAATGTGGAGGATCAGACTCGATGTGCTGGATTGTGCACATTTTCATCCTAGATTGGCAAGTATTGTGTACAGCCGTGCATGCGTCGGTTCAACATCGTATTTTGTTTTATACGCCGAAGTCGCTTCACAGGTAGAAAATCAACAGGGGGCGGGAATTAGAGAGGGGGCGGATCAACGGTACTTTACGGTATATGCCTTTAGGGCCGATTCCCACTACGGTACCGTGAGTGCCGTGCCGACGATTTGGGTAGGTCACGTGTACCCCACGGTACGAGCTTGAAGCTGAGAGTGATTTACACCTGCGCACTGTCGTTCCGTGCATTCCGTCGGCAGGCCAGATCACCATTTTTACCAATTTATGACTTTGGTCTGGAGGGAAAATAGCGGGGGAGATGATTGGAGAAAGCTCAAAAATACACCAATCGAAAAGCCAAGAAAACACTTCGTACCACAAATACAAAAGAAAGAAAAAACTTCCTATCAGGAAGTAGTAAAATACCTACTACACCCTGTACTCGACCTCACGGAATACCACGGCATGCCATTTCCACCACCCCACCCCCCCCCCCCCCCCCCCCAGAGACCCTCGGCACCGGAATGTCCACGGCGCGGTACGGCATGACCCACGGAATGAACTCGCGCCAAAACTGCCCCTCACGTGAGCAAATCACCATGGGTACTCACGGCACGGCACTCACGGTACCGTAGTGGGAATCGGCCCTTACACTTATAACTTGACCCAGAACACCATTGCCGTCACTTGATTCTCGGTTATTGGGGCTGTCGCCATTCTATCGCAGACCTACGAAACGTAGCCTTTCTTCTCAGACCCTCTTCCAAACCCATCACACATACAATTACATGTGCCGTGAAGTACCGCGAGAGCGCCCTGTCTCGCAAGAGAGCCCCACCTTGACTTTACAGCCAAGGGAAGGAAGATCGTACGACAGAGTGTAGCTATGTGTGTACAGTGTGGCAACCTCAGGGTACTAAGGTCCTGGTCATACTGCAGCAAAACGAAATAAACCTGTGACTATACTCCGAAATCTTCATAGAAACTTGACACCAGAGCGGCGAAATCGAGGGTCGACGCTCCAAAAAAAGTAAGAACGGACCACCCTTTTCCACTCCAAACAAGAGTTAGACGCTAGCATGCCAATGACGCTGATATTCAATGATCTTTTCATCTCGATACCGAAGAGCTAATTGACCATGGACAACAACAAAACTGATAAGAATGGTTGCAAGGATTGCACTGAAGGTGTTGGCGATTACCGAGGCAAAGGAATTGGACATTGTTCGTGGAGAGTACCACTTGACGCTCGAAATGAATTTTTGAATTTTCATTCTCCCCGCATGGGTAGTTCATGTTACGAACTTGCACACTTCAAGGTTCACGTTGTCTAACCTATTGACAAGAAACCACCTCCACGGCACGACCACGAAAGGGCGAGATGGCGGGGCGCTCTCGCAATACTTTACGGTACGTGCAGTGAGCGCGTTCCTTTGAATGTATCAACTGTACAACTGAACTCCTTGTTTGAAACCCATGCATGTACCCATGTATGTACATATTTATCAGAAAGTCGTAATACGAGAGAGCTTGGAAGCTCAGGGCCCTACGCTATGCTTTTTTGCCTTGATGACCTAGACAAAAAAAAAGCATAGGGATGTTATAAATTCTTTAAAAAAATCCTTTTTTTTTAAGACATAATCTGGGATTTGAACCCGCACTATCGCGCGCCCTGCATGCATTCCCCCATACACTTCGCATACATACCCATTCTTCCAAGTTGTTTCACATTGTGATCTTGCATTTGAAAGCCCTATTTGAATATGCATTGTGGCCAGCCGTCTTTGATGGCACGGTACGGTAGGGGATAGGTACGGGACAGGTACGATCGAGGGTAATACGACACCGTCTCCCGTACCGTACCGTACCATCAAACACAGCTGGCCACATACAGCTGCCCGCAATATTCAAATAGGGCTTTCAAACGCAAGATAATAACGTGAAGCAACTTGGAAGAATGGGTATGAATGCAAAGTGTATGGGGGAATGCATGTAGGGCGATAGTGCGGGTTCGAATCCCAGGATATGCCTGAAAAAAAAATAGGAGAATTGAAAAATTTATAACATCCTATGCTTTTTTGCCGTCAGATACGGATAGCGCCAGGCGTGACACAAACAAACAAACACACAAATACCAAATTAAAGCTGTGTGGACCCTGGCTATGCAGAAGACGTTACTGAGGTAACGTCTTCTGCATAGCTACGGGAATAATTATAGTATTTACGTATCCATGGTAATGACAGTAGTGTCTTGTATAAAAGCCTGTCTCGTACAGAAGCACGTTTGGAATAGAAGTCTATTTTTCAAGATACACTGTCGGTGCATATGCCTGCTTTTAGTGTTGACACACATACAAGTAGAAATACCTAGTTGCAATAGAAGCCTAAAGTGAACACACCTGGCGGTAAGCCCGGCCTTGACATCGGCTCCTACAGGAATACGCCCAGCTTTGATACGCGGCATTACGGCATTTCGAGAGGTTAAGCTACACATTATTTTTGACGTGACGCGAAAGTTCAGCCCGCGTTATTTGGCTCATGCGTTGGAAAACAATGCGAGTGACCTGCAGCTCACGTCGAAATTTGGAGTTTTACGCCAAAGTTGACGTGAAATTACGCGTCACGTGACGTCAAAAATAACGTGCAGCTTAACCTCACAACTAAATATTGCGACAAAGCTTTCGGCCATATTTCCAATTTATTGCATTCCCAACTCGTCACAACCACGCGCTCTCAGCTGAACCATAAAGACACCAGCAAGGACACTTCCGTTGAATGATAATATGATTTTTTTCCACGTCTCTAGACAGCTGTTACGCTCCCTGCCAGAGCTCATCAGTAGAGGATGATAATAATTATCATGGAGTGTAAAGGAATGATCATTCATATACAGCAGAAATGGCGGAAGTGCGCATTTTCCACATAGAACAATGGCATATGCAAGCTGCTAAATGGTAAATGTGAGAACAGCGAGAAGAAGTATTGTACTCGCTCATTGGTGGAGGGACACACCACACAGGCGAAGCAAATCTTATGCGGAAATGACCCTACAACTGATTGCAATAAAGCGAGAATAATGATGCCACTGGAAAGTACATGTACTTGTATGTTCTATGTGGAAAAAGTGCTCTTGCGACATTTCTGCTGTATGAGAATGATCTTTCCTTTACACTCCATTATAATCATTATCATCCTCTACTGATGAGCACGTGCAGGGAGCGAAACAGCTGTCTAGAGGCGTGGAAAAATATTATCTCTCAACGGAAGTGCCCTTGCTGGTGTCTGTATGGTTCAGCTTAACCTCTTTATTTTAGTGCCATAAGTTCCCGTAACCAAAACTTCCCTGTGGGAGTCAGGCCCCAAATAACCGAATAGCTTACTAGTATGTCGCTGCATCTGCGCCTTCAGGCTTAATCCTAGAGAGTGGTGGCGTTCCCACTGCGGTTGCGGAAAACTCGCCTTCCAGCCGAGTCAGTCGAACGCGAACCGTGAAATTCTATTTTTTTTATTAGTATGGATTCCTGACAGCACCCCACGGGTACACACCGGCATCTACTACAGTGGGTTTCAAAAATATAGACGCGTGATTTCAAAAAAAACCGTTAGGCTAGCACCTATACCACATAAAATCTGTGATCACTTTCAAGTCTTTGTGCATGAAAATTTCGACTCGATTTGGGCGTTTGCTATCCGATCGCTAAACATAATAATTATTATAATTATGAGAATACATAGCAGACTCAGCGGAGAACGT